TTTTAGATGCAGGCATTTTGAAAAATCCCAACCACCTCATTTCCTGATGTTGATTTTTCCAGATAAGCCTTGGACTCCTGTTAGGAAGGCTATGCTGAGTGTCAGCACTGAAAGAAGTTATTTCAGTCACAAAAGCAAGTGGGATGCTCAAGCCTGACTCAATTACTTCTCAGGTGAAGAGGAAGGAGGTTGTAGAAATGTCAGCACCTGGCTAAATCCTAGGGCCCTGAAAGCTTCGTCCTGTTCTATCAATAAGATTGCTCAGATACACATATTGCATCTGTTTACCATTTTTTAACTCTGCATTTTTCAACCAAAGCATATTTTATCTGTCTATATATTAAGCAAAAGCTCCCTTGGGGAAAAACATAAAACCAAGTAGACAGTAACTTTTATTTTTTCTACATCTCTTCTTTCTTCTCCTCTTTTCATCCTATGTGTTCTTGTGGTCAGTGGGGCACATAGTAACTTCCATGAACACAGATGTTCTCCTTATAAAAAGGAAGGGGAGGTGGGAGAAGCCAGGAGGATGAGCAGGTGCTCTCGTTTCCTCCCACATTCCAAAAATGTGCGTGTGAGGTTTATTGGTGTGTCTCAATGATCCCAGTGTGTGTGCATGCATGTGTGTGTGTGCACGTGTGTGTGTGTGTGTGTGTAACTGAGTGCCCCTGTGTGGGAAGAGCATCCTGTCTGGTGTGGGCACCCTCCTTGCACCCTGAGCTGCGGGAGTGGGCTCTGGCCACCCTCAACCCTGAACTAGAATAGCAGGTTGGAAAATGAAGGAACGAATACAAATGATTGTTCAACATTAGAAGTTCTTTGGGTCTTTATTTAGAAGTTTGGTGATGTCTTTGTGGCCAGAAATATGTCTAGGATATTATTATTATTAACCTTTATTTATATCAATTAACCTATTGTCAGGTCGGTTTTATTATATATGTTTCTCTTAAAATCACATTTTCCAACAACCTGTTAAGTGAGATGTACTGTACTCTGATAAGAGGTGAGGGTGATGGGGCCCAGCGGTGCTGAGGGACCCCAAGATTCTTAGGTTTTATGCAGAAAAGAGATTTCAGCGGGAGTCAGTGACAGTGCACACTCAAGGGTGAGCAGAGCAGATTCAGAGAATCCTGCCTTGGGTCTCAAGGCTACTGATACAAACAAATACTCGCTGAGTTTGAGGGGGCAGGGCTCACAGATGGGATCCTGAATGGGTTTTGATGAATTTTGCTTAACAAAAGGGCCAGGTATATACAGATGAGAGACTGGGCTTTAGCCAGTTTTATTTAGCAAAAGGGGAGGAATTGACAAAATATGGGATAATGAGATTTGACCAGTTTGTGTATCAAAACCACCTGACACTTAACCTCCTGTTAGTTAGATAAGATTGGGGTTTTACAACTAGTCGCACCCAGGATGACAGATGAACAGGGTTTGAGTCATTTTGTTCTGAAATGTGCTAAATTACCATTTCTGCCTCAAGGGGATGAGGAGGCTACCCCTCGCTTCTTTCTATGGGACATTCTCACCTGACTCTGGGCCTCCCAGTCTTTGCAAAGGGACACTCTCTGGCAAAATCTCAGCCCTGCTCTATTTAAAAACCTTACCATCACCCTTAGCATTATCTTAAGATGTTTATAGAGGTGAACTTCCACATTATTAATTAGGCATTTGGCAATATTCTGACAAATACGAATAACTTTGTTTTCTAAGTTTCACTCAATCTACACTGATAAAAAATCCCCACTCCCCTCCTGTCCCAGGTAGAGTTTAAAGGGGCACCTTCAGCTCATTGAGAATTTTTCCCCAAACACCGGCTATCACATTGCCTCACACCAAGGTGTCCCCAGTTAAAACCTTATTTCGTTCATACATGACCCAGGACAGATATTTTATGTGCTGCTTAATCAGGTAGAGGCAGCTGCAAAGAACTGGACAGATATTAGCTCTGACCTCTGGAGTGGCTAATTTTCCCCTTATCCTTGCTGCTAAGCAAATGAATAGACTCTAGCCCAATATGTTTAGGAAAAAAAAAAAGTTTGCCTTAAATAGGCACCTACCTCCAAAGGCGTTCAACCTGCCTAAGGAAAACTGTGTGGGATGTGTTCATATCCTGTGTAACTTAGAGGAAATTTTCTCCAAGGATCCTGGCCACAGGATGCAGCCCTGCCTGGCCTTGAGTTAATTAGCTAGAGTACCCAGTGAATGAATAGTCCCTAAATAGCATTGTTTAACCTTCAACCGTTCTTTAATGTCCTTGGCTGCTGAAGCATCACAGAATAAGAACTTACCTAGTGGAGCTGATGGAGGACAAGAATAGAAAGACTGGAAAGGAGGTGCCCAAGACCACAACCTGACTCACAAAGAGGTGGGGGTAGAGTCCAATAACATGACCTTTCACCCAGCTGTAGAGGTCGTGACCCTCAGGCGCCTGTGCCTTATCACAAGGCATAAGACCAAAGCAGGATCAGATGCTACAGGGAGTGGACCACAGGCCTGAGGGTAAAGATATGGAGATTGGGCCCACCCTGGAATCTCCACTCACCATGCTGGAGTCTCTGGTCCCTTTTGGATTCTGCATGGTTATCCAAAATCAGCAACAAACTGACCGCTCACAAGGGGTGACCCCTCCCAAACAGAAGAAGACTGTATCTGTGCAGTCTCTGCACAGGCTCTGGGCAGCACTATTGTAACAGGGTGGTCCCCAGGAAAGGGGGAGGTTCCAGGTTTCCTGCCCCACCCAAGGGAGGGTGGAGTTGAGCAGGTAGAAAAGAAGCTGCAGAGGAGACTGAGGAAGGAAGGAAGCAGGATGGAGCCAGAAGGAGACCTGGAGGAGGCGCCTGGAGCCGAGAGACATGTGAAGAAACTGCGCTTGTCTTTTGGTCGTGGACTGGGTGACACAGAAGTGGGTGAGAGACCCATGGGGAGGTGACAATGGTGGTTTTTGTCTTGATTTTCATTTTACTCTTTTCCCTCCAGACTTGTCTGGTTGTTTCTGATCGTTTTCTGTGGGTCCCTACTGGAAGCTGCTTTAGACTTGTGGCAGGCTTGAGCAAGGCCCCAAGGCCTTGCTCTGGGCCAATCCCATTTGGATAGACTTTTACTCATGAGGGGACGGGTAACTTTGGGTGCTTGATTTAGAAACTAGACTCTTTGCCTTTCCTGTATTGTTTCCTAATTTTATTAAAGTTCCTTCCCATGAAAGTCTCAAATTGTTAGGGGGAAAAGGCAGTCCCAAAGCAAAATGGACAAATACCTGGAGAGACTGGTTTTCTTTCACACTGGAACCTGACAAAACGTTCATCTGAGACTGCATCCCAACCTCCATATATTTGATCTTCATCACCATGGAAATGGTGGCAAAAAGTGAAAGGGGGGAATTGTTAGGGGGAAAAGGCAGTCCCAAAGCAAATTCCATACAGGCTTTGTGGACTCCACCCCCACCCCAGGTCAAAGCCAAAGACACTGGGAACTCCAAATCCCATCACCACTAAAGGGAAGGTGGCTGGGACCTGAGGGTGGGGTTAAGCAGCCAGGTGGATACAAAAGGCAGACATGTGGGCTTTGGGGCGCTCTCCATTTTGGGGCCCTCGGCCAGCTCGCGGCGTCCGTCTAGCTCTGAGAGTGACTTTGGGGTTTCCAGGTCGTCGGATCGGGTAGGACGCATTAAAGACTTTATTTCCCTATTTTCTCCCTGAGTTGTACATTTTCCTTATTTCTTTTTCTCTTGTAAATAAACCTTTTATTAACCCTTTTGCGTGTGTCTGTAGTAGAGTATTCATAAGTCCCTTTAAAGCGCGCGGGTGAGGACCCACAGCCAGGAACCCGTTTAATATCGGGGTTGCTCTATAACAATATGTTTTGTGTTGATGTGGCGGATGACAGAACCTATTTACAGCAGGCAGGTTTGCGGGGTCTGGGCTGCCCCTCTCCCTGCCCTGTAACACTCCCTCTGCCCACCTGTGACTATGCGGGTGCCTCTTTTCACCAACCCTCTCCTCTGCAGTACAGTAGCCTCCTGCCTGCTCGTGACCTGTCAAGGCCACCCCCCTGCAACCATGCAGGCCTCTCTCAGCAAACTTGTCCCTTCTGGGCAGCTCTTCCTGCCCACTTGTGTCTCTGCAAGTATCTTTCACTGTTTTATCCCTTCCCTAATAAACCTGCCCTTTAAATATAACGTCTGTCTCGTGGAGAAACTCTCCTGGGAAACTTGCTGTGTGCCGCTGAAATGGGAGCTCTGGTGACACCTTTCCCAGGGTGAACCCAAGGGCCCCGCTCTGCAAACCCACAAACTCCAAAAACCACAACAGAGGGAAGGAGCTAAGGAGAGAAATTGTAAAGAAGAACAAGCACGTGGGAGGTTGCTCCCGGGCAAAATGCTTTCCAGTGATTCATCCAGCTCCTGTTTCAAAAGGTTCTGCAGAAGTTTACTTCTGCTATACTCTGATCTCAGTTGTATATTCCTTTCTGCTGCTCCTCAGCTTCCCTCTCTGTGATAGGGTTAGCTGCGTGTGTTTTGACTTTTCTTCCATTTGAAAGTTCTCAGTGCAACATGTGTTCAGAGATCTCCCGGTAGAATTCCATGTCTCTTATCTGAGACAGGAGAGTTATCACCCAGTGGTGGCTTTATTTACCATGATGCTTTCAGAGATTTACAGAGAAGACAAGCAAACACAAAGAGAAACACACAGGGAAACACACGTATATTTGTAAACAAGTATTCAGACATGTGCCTATGCCCCTCTGTCTCCCGTTCACAAACACAGAACTACACAACTATATTAATGCACATGCAAGTAGCAGTGAACAGACAAGAAAACAAGCACAGGCAGGCATTCACATAACCATACTGGCATCAAACAGACACATGCTTGGTATAAATATCCTGTCATGGCTTCCCCTGCAAAGTTAGATATCAAACCAGCCTTGAATTCTTTTAACTCCCAGCCCTGATCACCAGAGCTCATGACTGTCAGTCATGGAGGACAAGGTTCCACATGCACATTTATTGAGGTGTTGTGTCAGGTAGGAACATAGAGAAGAACAGTGTCCCTCCCATGAGGGGCTTACATTTAATAAGAAAGGAGATTCATAGTTACAAATCCACCTGGGAAGTGCCATAACCGAAGTCAGTACAGGACGTAGGGTCCATTTCTTTCCCCTTGATCTCTGTCTGGAAAGAAGGCAATTGTTTCTTCACAGGATGAAATGCAGTATCAGAGGGATCTACTTAGCACCAGTGGGCTACAAGCCCCGCTGGCTGTCTGGTTCATTCCTGGGGTCCAGTCCCTTAAGTGAGCTTCTCCTGCTTGCCCCTGAGGTATGTCTGGTGGTAGAAGTTGAGAAAGAGGAGGATGAGGCTGAGGGAGTACAGGAGGACAGCCATGTTGAACCCATCCGGGAAGTAGCACTCAGCAAAGAGATTGTAGGAAGAGTGGGCAGCAATGGCCACAAACTGACCCTGCAAGAGAGAAAGAGCGAGAGGAGAGAGATGGGTGAGCAGTGAGAGACATGCTGAGGAGCAAAAAAGGATGGTCCCCTTCGCCCTTCCTGTCTGAAGTTCTGTCTACAGCAGAGAGAGACACCGCTAGCTCAGAAAGAGGAAACCAGTGACACCTAGTGGAGCATGACTCCCATTTTTTCCCTAACTGTGATCCTAAGAGTCTTCCTGGGGTCAGTCAGTGATCACAGACTTGCAGGGTATTTGCCGTCATGTAGTCCAGCCTCCTCATTTCACGGATGATGAGATTGAGGCCTGAAGTATGACAGCCACAGACTCCAGGTCCTGCATCAAGTCAGTGAGCTGGGTTGGTTCTAGGATCTGACAAGATAGCTACTGAGACCCTTGCAAATTGGGAAATTAAGGTAGCCCCAACAAGAAGGACCTGTTCATGGTCAGATATCAAGCCCCTGGGACAGGCTGGAACAGAACCCAGGGTGCAGCATAGAACTGGGGGGTGGGGGCTCTCACTAGCTGCAGGGTGGGAGTGGGGGCGGGGGGCTCTCACCAGCTGCAGGGTGGTGAGATGTCGCTTCCACCACAAATAGCGCCGCATGTGGGGCCCCAGACTGGCCAGTCCGTAGTACAGGTACATGAAGACATGAACGAAAGAATTCAGCATCCCGACAAAGAAGGCTGCAGAGTGGGGCAGGGGAGGTAGAGAATAGCCTAGTCATGGCCTAACTGCGGTCTGGGCTTGCTCATTCATTCTCTCTAAGCTGCCCAGAGCAACTCTGGGAACCCTGCAGAGAAAATCCTTGAGAAGACCTTGCCATAGGAGGTCTGGCATGTGCCCCTGAGGGCAGTCGTGATTCCAGGTTGGGGTTTCCAGGCTGCTAAGTGAGAGCCCTCCTAACTCCCTCCGTGATCTCTGGCCTGACAGCTGTGCGCATGACCCACCTGCCTCCTCTTCCTCCCCCGGAGGAACAATGGAGATAAAGCGGGAGCAGAGACCTGGCTTCCATGCTGCAGAGAAGGGGAGCCAGACCGTGTGAGGGCAGGGAGGCACCCCACACGCTGCTTACCTTGCCCCCCGGGCACATACTTGACTCCAGCCCACCAGTTAAAGAGCATGGTGCCGTGGTGGTAGACATGCAGGAAGGTGATCTGCTCCCGCTTCTTTCGTAATATGAAGAAGACCTGGAGTGGAAGAAACATGTCAACACTGGGGACCAGACCCTCCTAGAGCCTCCACTGCCACTTGGAGGAACAGGGTGATTCTGTCCGTGTTACTGAAGGGCAGGTGTAAACTCAAGGGAAATAGCAACCACATACCTACATAGCACTGACTGTGTGCCAGGTATTTTGTATGCATAAAAATCATAACACAGTATGGTATATGATCTCTTTTTTAAAGTTTTTTTTTATGCATATAAGAGCTGGGATACAGGCCAGAGGTGTAGGGGGTGAGAGGATTCACTAGAGACAGAGTGGGGAGCAGAACAGGCAGATTGACTGAAACATGCTGTTGAGGGGAGCAGGGGCAAGGCAGGAGAGGTCTGCTGTGCCATGTGGGTAGCTTCCTGGCTGGGGATCTAACTTGTGCTGTAGTGGCTTCGGATAGCTTCACAGTGCTGCGACTTAACCCCTTGCGCCACCAGGGAGGCCCCGTTTATAGTCTTCTTATCTCTGTTTTACTGATGACAAACCGAGGCACAGAGAGGTTAGGGCGCTTATCCAAGGTTACACAGCTAGTAGGTGGTCACATCTGGATTTGAATACAGCCTGGCTTCAGAGACTGCGCTCTTTGCAGCATCCAACACACATCCCAGGGCTCTTAGGAGAGAATTCAGGGTTGAACACCCAGGTAACTGTAAGGCAACTTCCCTAACGTGTTCTACTTGGACTCCATTTTGCAAGAGAGAGCAAAGAATCTCTTCCTTTCATCACTGTCCTAAAATTATGACCTTGCCCACCGCACTCAGTCCCACCAGCCTCCTGGATTCACATGCAGGAAAACTAATCTCCTCCTGAACCTATGATTTTTACTATCTGGTGACCCCTGCTGCCTCATATCAGTTCAATTTCATTTACCCTGGACCTCGGCTGCCTGTGGGGTTAAAAGCATACTTTTTCCTGTGCATGGATGTAGAGAGGCCTGAGGGAGCCTGTGGAGGTGAGCGGCTACCTCTGTGAGCATCCTTCCCCTGCCAGACTCTGACATAAGCCTCAGGCACGGCTGCCTGAGCAAACTCTGAAAACACCCACCAGATACACTGAAGGTGCCACATACACGCCCCCAGACCCAGCTGATAGAACCTGTCTGTCCAAGACAACAAGAGAAGTGATTCTTTTTTTTTTTTTAACGTCTTATATAGGAATTTTATTTCTTTTTTTTTAATTTTTAAACAATATTTGCTTCTCCCCTATCCCCTCAGGTTGAGTCCCCATAGAATTTCCTTCCCTAAGACACCCGTGCACCATCACCACAGTCCCCTGAGCTCCTCCCTCCCTCCCTCTGATCCCTCTCCCTCCTCCTCCCCTGCAGGATGTCCAAGAGAAGTTATTCTTACTGTGTCAAGCAGTTCAATGGCCTTTGAGAAGAAACACCACCAGCACACGCTCGCCATCTGCTGGGCAGGAAGGAGAAGTTGAGCCAGATGTTGTCCTGCTGCTCACCCTGGTGGGGCTGACTTTTGTCCCATCCCCACTGCCCTTCTGCATGTCCTGGCCCAACAGTGCCCACCTCTCTGCAGGGAGGTTCCTTTTAGAGAGGGACAGAGGGGCAGGTCTACCGGGAACGCTAACAGAAGCTCTCTCCAAGACCAAGCACCCCTCAGTAGAGAGCCCTGCTGTCTAAGGAGCATTTAGTGTCCTAGGGATCTTGTTTGTTGGAAAGCTGATTCTTTTTTTTTTTTTTTTTTTTTGCTATTTTCTTTTTACATCAGTGATCATTTTTAAACAATATTTGCTTCCATCTACCCCCTCAAGTTTAATCCCCATAGAATTTCCTTCCCCAATGCACCTGTGCATTCCTAGGGATCTACCCAAAGGACACAAAAACGATTCAAAAGACCACCTGTACCCCTATGTTTATCGCAGCACTATTTACAATAGGTAAAACCAGGAAACAACCCAAATACCCAAAAATAGATGACTGGATCAAGAAGATGTAGTATATATACACCACGGAATATTACTCAGCAATCAAAAAAGATAAACTCATGGCTTTCACAGCAACATGGATGGAGCTAGAAGGATTTATGCTCAGTAAAATAAGCCAGAAGGAAAAAAGAAAATATCAGATGGTTTCACTTATAATAGGACTAGGGAACCAAATAAGACATCAGTGTGAAGAAAAAATAATAACAGTACAAAACACAGCAAAGCAGCAACGGAAGGCTGATTCTTAATCCGTGCTCCCAGGCTGGGACAGGAGCGTCTGCCGTCCCACCAAGCCACCAGGTGGCGCTGTGGCTCTGCACGCAACATCCCTGGATGCAGCTGCCCCATCACCGCCTGGTACATGTCAAGTCTCAGCTAGATTTTTTTTTCTTTTTGCTGCAAGGAAGCCTCTTGTTCTGCTTCCATAATGAAACACCTACCACTCAATATGTGCCAGGCCCAGCACTAAACATATTTACGCATTTTCTGCTTCAATCATTTCCTTGCAATCATTTCTTGCAATCACTTCCTTTTCTTAAGTAGACATTATTATTCTCGTTCACTGGTAAGAACATGGAGGCCCAGACAAGGTAAGTAAGCTACCCAGGGTCACACAGCAAGCAACTAGCACAGTGAGACTCAAACTGAGGTCTTCCGAGCCAGTGCTGAACCAATGGGTTCACTGCCTCCCATCACACGTCCTTGATCGAGCTCTTCTCGCTCCACTCCGGGCCATACCCTTATTCCAAGCTCACTCTGGCTGTAGTCCACCGGCTGGCAGAAGTAGCTGTACTTGGCCAGAAGGGAGGTGACCATGAACTGGAAGGAAGGGGGAAGGAAGCATGAGAAAGGCCGTTCCCACTTTGCTGAGCCCCAACTGGCTCTGGGCCCACAGGGTCAATACCTCCTCCAGCTGTGTTTTTTTTTTTTTTAATTTTTTTTATATTTATTTATTTATTTATACAAGCACTGGGTACAGTCAGAAGCGCTGGAGAATTCACCAGAACCAGAGCGGGGAGGAGAACAGGCAGAAGGACCGAAGTACACTGCTGAGGGGAGCAGTGGGCGGCAGGAGAGGTCTGCGCACCATGTGGGACCCTCGCCAGCTGGCCGGGGATTGAACCGGCCACTGCAGAGTCTGTGGGCAGCTTCTCAGCCCAGTGCTCAGCCGCTGAGCCACCAGAAGAGGCCCATCAGGTGTGTTTTAGATAGCACTGGTCCTCCCTTACCCTCCCTAACCTTCCTCGGTCCTCCCCAGCACTAGATGAATGATTGCTGATCACATAAACCCCATGGAGAGGCCAGGTCAGAGGCTGGGACTTGCACACATGTGCCTGGTCTCTGTTCTTAGACCACAAATCCACGCAGGGTAACTACTATGTGTGAGACCCTAAGTGAAGTGCTAAAGGGCTTAGAGGAGACACGGAGATGGCCTGTCCCAGGAAGCTCAGAGTCTCATGAGAATGGGGGGAACAGTTGTACTTTTAAGGCTGGTGCCAGATGAAGAGTAGGACAAGGAGATATTCCAGAAGTTAGTAGTGGAGAACGGGGAAGCCTCAGGCAAAAAGTGAGCAGCTGGGGGCCTCCCCTGGTGGTGCAGGCAGTTGAGCGCAGCGCTGTGAAGCTGTCTGCAGCCTCTGTAGCATGGGTTCAATCCTGGCCGGCCGACGAGAATCCCACATGGCGTGGCAGACCTCTCCTGTCTCACCCACTGCTCCCTCATCAGTGTGTTTCAGTGAATCTGCCTGTTCTGCTCCCCGCTGTCTCTGGTGATTCCTCTCACCCTCCCGTGCCTCTGGCCTGTACCCCGGTTCTTGTATGCATGAATAAATAAATCTTAAAAAAAAAAAAGTGAGCAGCTGGGAGGATCACTCATGGGGCCTGGACCTCTTCTATGTCACCAGGGGCAATGAGGACTGGGCGGGGCTGTAACTTAGGTGCACACAGATGGAGGGGTCTTGAAGGCTGTTTTAAGGAGCTTGAATTTTATCATTTATTTATTTGTTTGACAGTGATGGTTTAACCAAGACTAATGCCATTGTAGGCAGTGTACTGAGCACCGAGCCACCACAGTACAACAAAACACACGCACGTCCTTACTTGAAGGATCATAGAGGCAAAGGGCACCACTGAGGGCTCTGAGCAGGGGCCTCGCTTGTGCATAACAGATTTTCAAAGGATTTAGGGGGCAGGAGAGTAATGTGCCACCATTATTAAGGGACCCATTGGTTAGGGCATGTCTTCCAAGTTACCCGTGGTTGCTTCACAGTACAAGCCATGATGCTGAGCCTGTCTTTAAAAGGTGAGATGGGGCCCTGCTTTGCACTTGCAGTTTTGAGGGGGACTATTATGCAATTCCTAAAACAGGGGAGGAAAGCCACCTGCGGCCAGTGGTGTGGGTAAATGCTTTGTAGGCACTTGGTAGGCTCGGGGGCGGATTGTAGTTTTGGCCAATTGACCTGGTGTAAATTCTGTTCCCAGTGCTGATTTCAAGCTACTGAGGGAAGTCACTGCAAAACAGAGGTGGGGAAACACGGTAAGATGCTCACCAGCTGGGGGAGCCCACCCCAATCCTCCACAGAGAAGAGATATGAAAAGCTAAGGAGGAAAACAACCTGACAGTGGGGAGCCAGGGACGGCTTCAAGAGCGGTGACAACGGCCTGAGAGTAAAGGTTGTGGGGTGAGGGGTTGCCAGGGCACCAGAGGAGAAGTGACTGGACAGTCATGTGTCCAGGCCTGGGGCATGGAAGGACTAAGGAAGGTTTAAGTGTCTGCCAGAGGGGCTCAACTTTGCCCCTGCTGGTGGGGAGAGCTGGGGAGCCAAGCAGGGCAGTAGCATGTGGCTTTTGGCATTTAGGGAAGACAATTCTAGGATCTAGAGCATGGACTGAACATGAGCAATCAGGAAGAGGGAGAAGGTGAAAGAAGTCTGGCCGTTGCGACCTGCTGCTTCTGCTGGAGCAGGGGTGGTGGTGAGGCTGCAGGCCCTGTGCTGTGTGCAAATCCAGCCCCTGCCTGCTGCCCCCTGCTAAGTTACTTAACCCCTCTGTGCCCCAGGGTAGTGGAATTGTGAGATGAGACAAGCCAATTTATGTGAAGTGCTGGGAGCAGGTCTCACCATCATTACTGCTTAAAATGCCACCAATTGTGACCACTTTCTCTGACAAGCTTTCCCAACACCCAGGCCCAGGCCCAGATAGCGCCTCTGCCTGCCTGTCCCTGGTGCACGCATGCTGGCACTGGCTTAAAATCACCGGTCTCCACATCGCCACATCACTCGCCCCTCCTGGATGTGAGCTCCTTACACAGCGACTGAGAGTGTCTGGCAGGGACCCTGGGCTTGGGGCTCTGAAAACTGGGCAGAGGCCACATAGCCGGGGAAAAACAGGAGGTGGTGGGGTATTGAAGTGCGAGGTGATCAGAAATGCCACTCCTGCTGCCACTAACCTCCACGAGCCTGGCAAAGGGAGTCGGTGAGGCAGATTTGTGTCTTATAGGAAGGCAAGACAGAGAGAGAGGGAGGGAATTCACCTGCTCCTGTCAGGCACTTCCAGCGTTCTCTTGAGTACCCCGAAAAGGAAGTGGCCCTAGAACTCTTCAGGCTCCCCACAGTCTTACCTCATAGAATATGTACCCGGAGAGAAGCACTAGGCCCAGGTTGTAGGCAGCCAGGGGTCCAGCCAGCCTCAGAGGCTCCCGGTGGCTCATGATGGCAGGACCTGCCACCACCAGGAGGAGATAGAAGGCAAAGAGGAGGGTGACCGGGAGCGGCGAGTGCACCAGGAACCAGGAATCAGTTCTAGGATCTAGGAAAGCAAAGGGGACAGAGACAGCCGTGCTGGCCACCACGCCCACAGGACACCAGCCCCGACCACCCCCAAGCCTCGCTCATCACCGTATCTGGCTCTTCCAAATGTCTGGCATCAGACTGGACTGAAAAAGGGGTGAAGCTCCCACTGGGCGTCTCTATCTCCTACCTCCATTGTTTAAGGCCCAGGTGCACTGGCGCCAGAGCTCGTCCAGGGTGCCCGCCATTGCAAGCGCCTGCAAGTGAAAGAAAGAAAGTTTGTTTCTCATGCAAACTGCGCCCCCACCGCCCTGCACTTCCTCTCTCCTCTTCCCTTTCTTCCCTCCCTCCCGCCAGGGCCAGGTGAGAGTCCACAAAACCCTGTTCTCAGTGCCCCCACAGGACCACCAGCTGCCAGGTCCCTCCCTGCCATCGCTGCCCCCGAACACTGGACAGCCACCCACCATGCACCCCTGGGGACCCCCCACAGCCCCAGCTCCGCTCCTTTCTTCACACACCTTGCTCCCTACTTGGGATCACCACCCTCAGCAGAGCCCCCAGATGGCAGGGCCCTGAGAAAGGGATCTGGCTCCGGTGCAGCAGGCTGGGGCAGGGCAGAGACACAGAGCTCTCCAGTTCCCCTCCCTGCTTGCACTGAGTTGTTCTTTCTGGGTGTCCCTGGCTCCTCAGCCTCCCCCTGAAGGGGCCATAACCCATCCCTCCAGAGCCCAACTTACCCCTATGTCCTCTTGGGGCTCGTCTGGTCAGTGACTGATGCGGTTCTGGCCGCTCAGGGTGTTGGTGCCACAAGGCCAGTGGTTCCAAGTCACAGATCCTGGGGCTCCAGGCTGCGGCCCTTCCTTCTAGATGCTCTCCCCACCCTGCTCTGATCTGCAGACGCCCTCCAGCCTCTGTGCGCACTCACACTCACTCACACACTTACTGAGAACTGGACACCAGCCTGAGCTCCCCGCCCCACCGGGCACAGTGCCATCCTCACAGGCCCAGGGACAGCGAGAACCAGAGACAGCCCTGGGGCAGCTCAGAGGGCAAAGGGTGATGACGACTACAGCTCTGCGGAGGGTAGGAGAAAGTCAGGTAGGATGGCCCCTACCCAGGGGAAGGCGCATGCCCACATCCCCCCACATTTAGTGCCCCCATGACTGGTGCCCTGAACGCTGCATTCTTAGCAATGGGGACACTGCACACAGGTGACAGCTCCACCAGCCCAGGCCACGCCCTCCATCTCAGGTTCCAGTTTCCCTGCACCCCATCCCTCCTCCCTCCTCTTTCCTACACAGGTAGGGATTAAGCATTTATCTTTTAGAACTGCTAAAATTTCACACACCCCTGCTTTCATTCTCTGCTCCCAATGGTTGCTGGCATATTGGGGGATTGATATTCCAGGACTTAAGCAACCCTCTTCCCTGATCCCACCTCTATCACCCTGTGCACAAGATGAAGCCGTTAAACTTGCCACTTGTCCAAATAAACTGTCTTAGGCACATGCTTCTCCTCTCTTTTTTTTTAAATTTTTAAACATTTATTTATTTATGCATACAAGAGCTGGGGTACAGGCCAGAGGTGTGGGGGGTGTGGGGGTGAGCAGGAGTCACTGAGACAGAGTGGGGAGCAGAAGAAAGGCAGATAAACTGAAATACACTGCCGAGGGGAGCAGCCAGAGAGGCAGGAGAGGTCTGCT